TAAAAATCTTAAAAGACTAATAAAATAAATAATATTTATTGCTCAATGAAAGAAAATGTATGTAAATTTTTAACAACTCGGACCTCCTTTAAAAAAAATTAAAAAAACACATAAAAGAGTAAAAAATCTCTATAAAGTTATATATACGGTATACAAAGTCAGTACTTAAACTAAGAAAAAATATAAAAAAAACTTAAATGCTATAGAAAATAATGATTTCAAATTTCGACTTTAATTTATAATAAAAAATATAATAAAAAGTACTAAAGTTTTAAAAAAAATATAATTCAACTAATTAATTTCAAAACGCCCTTAAAGAATTTTTTGAAAATTAATTTAATTTTGATTTACCAATATATCTTCTTTGCAGATCTCTCGAATTATCAGACCTTGAATAAAAGAATCACTTTTGTACTGTTTTGCGAATGAGTATCTTTAAGAAACTTAACTATATTATTTATACAAAAAAAACCACCTCCATTTTTATGAGATAGATGATTCAATAAAATATAATCGAAATGGTTACGTAAAATAAAATTAATTTATTTTCATTTACTTTTACTTTTAAAAAAAGGAGAAAATAATAAATATTACATAAGATATTATTTGATATCTTGGTTACTTTCTTTACACAGTCAAGATAGTTTGCTTGTGTACACGCTCTATTTTCATTACATCCATAAAAGGTTTCTTTTGTGATGGTGTGTACTTAAATATGTTTATTCTGAATGTTTTTTAAGATTTTTCAATAAAATATAAAAAAAAATTGGCTATAAGTTTAATTTGTTTAATTAGTTACCACGAGTCGTATTTATATAATCACAAACTAAAATTTGCAAAATGTTTCTTTAAATATTTTATAGAATGTAAAGAAAAAACAAATTCGGCAAGAAGTTATATTATATTTAAATATTTCATGGCGTATTAACAGACATACACAAATTATAAGTTCAGTGACGCAAAAATGAAAATTTATAAATTTTTTAGTGAAAATCTTTTGTTAGCTAAAAAGTTTTTAAGATATTTTTATAAAATGTAAAGAAAAGTTTACATTATTTTTAAATATCACAAGACTATTTTACAGAAATACACAAATTATAATTTTGTAATCGCAAAATTATATAAACTTGATTTTACTATTAATTTTTTGTAAAACCTTTTTTTTTAACTAAAAAGGTTTTAGAAGTTTCTCAAATTTTTAAATTAAATTTATTAAACAAAAAATCGGTTAAGAAAAGTTGATATTATTTTCAAATACCACAAGTTGTTTTAGAAGAATACGGAAACTTAAGTTTTAGTGAACGTAAATTTTTAAAGATTTAATAATTGTTATTTTTATTTTTAATAAAATTTTATTTAGTTAAAAATTTTATTTATATAGTTATTAGCTGTAAATTTAGCAACAGTGAGAATGCAGTACGAACTTGTTATAGATGAGAAGTTTTAAATTGTTTACAAAAATCTTCGACTTTCAAAGTTTAAGAATTTATAATTATTTATTAAAAAAAAGTAAACAAATTTCTTAGTAATATTTAAAAAAGATATAATATTAACTAAAAATTAAAAATATATAAATTGAACTCACTTTAATTTAAGGATGATATTCTGGTTTTTGTAATTGTAAAATTTAATTACTTTAAAATTAATATCAAAAAAAAATTAAAAATTTTGTTTTTTGTAAATATATGTTTTTTAAATACAGTTTAAAGATAAATTTTTTCTGAACTAAAGTTTTTTTTTAATTTTTTTGGTTTAAATTTATTGTTCATATAAAAATTTATCTTGTCCTTAAAAAGATGTATATTTCTGTTTTTTATTATAATATATTTTAACTTACTCTAACTAAATTTTTTTTTAAAAAAATTTTTTTCTATCAACTATTTTTTATTTTTTAAATTAATCTGACTTCTAGTTTTTTTCTTGTAAAATAAGTACGTAGCTACCTGTCAAAATTATTGTTTTTTCTTCAGTAAATAGTTATTATGTATAATTGTAAAGAGTATTAGTTTTAACTAAATTTAATATATAATAATTTTAAAAGTCCGGATTTTAGTAAAGGAGTAATTAAATTTTATAGAAATTCCAGCAACTTTTTTTTGTATTTATCTATTATTTAAAATTCTAGTTGCTAAAACTTTTTATTTTTTCTATCATATTATTATATATAGCCAACTAATCTTTTATTATTAAATAAATATTGTTAATTTTAGCGTTATATAATTAAGTTTTTTTATTAATATAAAGTCTTGTTCACAATAGCGTATATAGTAAGTTTTTCGATTTGTATTATTAAAAAATTTATATAAAAGTTTTGCAAATCTGCCGTTTAAGTTTTGCCTTTTTTGTAATTTTTTTAAGCATTTTAAACTGGCCTTTATAATTCCTTATAAAAAAATTTTAATTTATATTCAGAAATTTTGCGAGTATGCCTTTAAAGTTTTGCTTTTTTGTAAAATTTCAAGCCATATAAACTGGTATTTTTCCCTGCAAACAATTTTTAAATTATATACGAAATTTAACGAGCAAGACTTTAGAGTTTGGTATTTTTGTAAAAATTTAGTTTTTTAGTAGAGAATTTATAAAATTCTTGTATTGAACTATAACAAGTTTAAGACAAAGTCTAGAATATATACCTTTTAAGTTTAGCAAGATGGTAAAAATTTAAAATAACTTTTAAACTGGAAAATTTAGTAAAATTCCTGATAATACTAGAATATTATCCATACAAAAGACTTGCAAATGTGTAATTAGAATTTTTCAAATGTTAACGTATTTTTATTTTATAAAATCTATAAATCAGTGGACTATCTATTATAAGATTTGTTCAAAATCCAGAAAATATGCCTTTAAAGTACTACAAATTTGTAAAATTCCAAATTCTTAAATAAAAAACAGATTCTCAAAGCCGATGAACTATTGTTTTCATTATAAAAGAAAATTATTTTTTTCCGGTGATTAATATTGTAACGATTTAAGTGTAATATAGACAGAAGAAATAAATTTTTATTTACAATATTGCCGTTAAACTTTCTTAACCATATACATATTTTACGTAAATATTTTAGTAATAAAATTAATTATTTTATACAAACATTATTTTTAACGAAAAAATAAAATTATTTTAAAACAAATTTGTACAAAGTCTACAGATATTATTTGTAAATTTTCGTATAAATTTGTCTTTTTTAATTTTCAAAAATGAAGCAGCACAGTTAATGCTGTTTAACTTGTGGATCTTTCCAGTCAGCACAATCCTTTTCTAAATAATAATATTAAGGTTAATCAGGTATAAATTATAGCTTTAACGGGAATTTAAGAAATAAAAAATGCCGTTAAAATTTTCAATAATTTACTTAATGTTACTCAAAAAAATAGTACTGAGAAAGCCAATAATGTTTGTATTATCATAACGTAAAACAAAGAATATCTTCAAAACTATATTCAGAACTTGTTGCCATTTTATGCTTTTTTCCTTTATAAAAATGTCTACCGCTTAGAAATATGTATGCAGAACAGTAACAGTGCTGGCTTGTGGATCTTTCAGTCGGCAAAGTTTATTTTCTGTAAAAAATAAGATTTTTATTTAGCTTTTTTAAATTAATTTTTTTTTATAACCAAAGTTGAAAAATTTACTAAGATGCTACTATTATTGTAACTTTGCAGTTTTATTAATTTGTTAAATGCCTTTAAAAACAAAATTTTGAATAGTTTTGATGCTGATCGTTTACGTGGAAGAACTTTAACGGCTAAGTTTTGTCCCCCTTGTACAAAATAGTTTTTTACCTGAATTCTTTTTTTAACTATTCAAGTTTATTTTTAGTACAGATTGACAGTAAAAAATTACTATTATGCCAAACTTTATTGCAACTTTGTATTTCTATAAACATTTTTAACATTTAAAAAAGATTGCAAAATAGGAGTATTGCTGATCGACTTGTAGAGAAATGAATATTTTTATTTGGCAATCTTTTTATACCAATAATTTTGTTTTTAAAAAGGACTGACTATAATGATCAATTTATTTTAACTTTGCGAATTTAATAAATTGTAAACGCACTTAAATAAGATTTTAAAATAGTAGTGGTACTGATTGATTAGTAGAAAATTTTATTAGGCGGCGGAGTTTTGTCCCTTAAAAATATAAGATTTTTACTTGGCAATCTTTTTACTATTTACTACAATTATTTAAATAAAGACTGACTTAAAAATAAAAAAAAATATTATAATCGTAACTTTTTTTAAAAATATTGTTAAAGCACTTAAGAAGGAATGCAAAATGGTAGTAAAGCTGATCGACCTGTAGAGAATCTTTCTAGCAGGCCAAAATTGTTCCAATTGAAAGTAAGAATTTTACTTCCCAATCTTTTTTATAATATTTATTTCTATTTTCCAAAAAATGATTGACTTCAAAAAAATGTGGAATAATAAACATTGTAATTTTGCATTTTTAGAAAAATTTCATACGCATTTAAAAAGATTGCAAATAGTAGTAAGACTGGCCGACTTTTAGAGTTCCTTTAACCTGCGAAGATTAATAATTGGTAATCTTTTTCAATATAATTATTTTTAATTTTTTGATTAAGATGGATTCTAAAAAAGTACTTTAATGATAAACTTATTGTAACTTTGCATTTTCACCTGAAATTTCAGATTGCTAATCGACTTGTAGGGCAGCTTTTTAGCCGGCGAAGTTTAGCTTTAAAAAATTAGATTTTTACTTAACATTCTTTTTTATACTAATTATTTTAATTTTTTTATAAAAGATTGACATTAAAAATTGTGATATTTAACTGGAGATCGACTTGTAAAATAGCGTTGAAGCCGGCAAATTTCAATTTATTAAAAAAATTCTCAAATTTTTTTTTAAAGAAGCTGGTGTGCCGATATGTATTTTTACTTACAATTTTTTTAAAAAATTTTTTAACTTTTGAAAAAAAATTATTTGCAATAAAAAAATGTGCAGACTTTTATTAATATTTACATTACATCTGCCACGAGGTTTAATTTAATTTCTGTTTCATTGTTTTTGTGTGCCAAACTAAAACTTTCGAGCCTATTTAAAAAAATTTAATATAAAAAAAACTTTAAAAATAATTTTTTGGTATTAAACATTAAAAGATTAAGAGTTTTCCATACAAAATATAAAGATTAACATTTAGTTTAAGAATTTAAAAATATATATTTTTTATGAGCCTTCAACAAATTTTCATAAATTTATCCTTTTTGTATACACGAAGGCTAAATGTTGTTTATATGTATATGGAACGGGGTGCGCACGACGTTCTCTTTTATATATCATAATTATTATTTTCCCTTAAATTTGTCAATAAAATTATTACTGTGATCCTAAGTCTTTAATAATTCTTTCTTACTATCTTAAAAACTATAATATACTTTATACTAATATTATTTTACTCATCGTACACAATATATATTAGTTTCGAGGCTCAAGACTAGTAAAGTCAACAGCTTATAAAAACTATAATTTAATAATCATTAGAGAAAAAACTTTTTTAGAAAAAAAATAAAAGTATACTTACTAAACTTTTTTCAAAAAATATTTTTTTTTATTAAAATAATTATAATACAACATTAAAAAAAGCTAAGAAACATGGTTTATAAAGATTTTTTTTTTAGTAAATATATTTTAGAATTCAAGTCTAATTTAAAAGTTCTTTACAATAATTTATATTCCAAAGAAATATTTTGATAATAAAGTTGACCAGCGAAATTATAATATATATTATAATCAAATTATGCAAGTAAAATTTTTTAGAGAAAAAAATTTAATTGTTTTTAAAAGAAAACTAATAGAACTTTGTATTGTTAATTATAAAATTTTTAATCTTTAATTTTTACTAAATTTATAAAGTTTTATGAAATTAATTTAAAATTTCTTTTTTTTACAATCTTCAGCTTTTGATTCTAATTCATCTGAAGAATTGATGAGCTGCATAAGGAAATCAGTTTCAAGATGGCCGTGCTTGGCGTTGTCAGGAATCTTCGGCATGCTTTAAAAAAATTGATATAAAAAAGGAAAGATATTAGAATAGTTGCAATACTGTTTAGATTAATAAAAATAATTAAAAATTAAGGGAAACTATTATGAAAAAGCAGCACAATTTAATTAATTAAATTCTAAAACTAAAAAAATAATGTTGTATGAAGTAGTTATACATGTAATTTATTCAAATATAAAAATTAAAAAAGAAATGAAATTGTTTTATAAAATTTAATAAAAATAATTAATTTTTAATTTTTTTTAAAAAAAGAAATTTTAAATAAATAATCTTTTTTTTGCTAATAAAATGTTTGTAACGCAAATATATAAAAACTCAAAAATCAAAATGTTACAAAAATAATAAATAATTTATAATTTATTTTGAAAGTAAAATTAAAATTTTAACTTGAAAAATTATATTTTTTACTTTTCATTATATAAATTTGTAAAGAGAAATTTTTTTTAAAAATTTTTAAATGAGAATAAAATTTTTTATTATTATAGTGGGTGATATAAATTTATTTAATTGCGAGATAAAAAAGTCATTTCCTTATCGATAACAATTTTTTTTTAAAAAAAATACTTAAAAAAAAAATCGCAAAAGTTTATTAATTTTTTTAATAATAAAAAATTATAAATAGTTTAAATTTATTTTATATTTTATTTTTCCTTATTTTTAGGTAGAAGGTAGTTCTTAAGTTAAAACAAAGCAAAATTCATTTTTAAAAGGAATTATTTTAAGTATAAATCGAAATTCAGTAATTTTGTTAAATTAATTGTTTTATTAAGAAATTAACAATGATTTATAGATAAATTTTTTTAAAGATTACCAAGTTGGACTGAAAGGAAAAGTGAAGGATTTTTTTTCGTAATTTTAATAATTTTAAATTAAAAAAACTATTTCTATTGCGGATTAAGAATTTCAAGCGGATATTAATAATTAAATTTAAATAGAATTTTCGACTTTTAAAAAAGTTTATAAAATAATAATTGAAAAAAAAAAAGAATTCTACATAATTATTTGTAAAGAATTTGTAAAATAAAAAATAACAGTTCGATGAAATTTAAAAATACGGCGATTTGCTTAAAAAAGTGACGTTAAAAGCAAAAGATGCCATATCAGTTGGAAATTTTCTTTTTCTAGCAAATCCAGTTTTCCATTTTACTATCTTTTTAAAAAAAAATTTAAAAAGTATTATAGTAAACTTAATAATTCATTTTTTTAGCAATTTATAATAAGTACTTTATTTATATAAATTTATATTATAATTTCTTTGGTTTTGTATTTAATTTACCATTGTAAAATTATTTATTTTTAATTCGTTTGTATAAAATTTTCTTTAAAGTAATCTTTTTTTAATTTTACTATATTCCAGTTTACGAGTTTTTACAAAACGTTACAAGTAAAAAATTTTTTTTAATTTTTTAATCAAAACTATAAATTTCTTAATTATTTAGAAATTAAATTTTTTGATCCTAATTTTCCCCTAAAGATTGCGTATACTAAAGTTCTTTTACAAATTTTTATTATCTTAAAAAAACATTTTCAGAATAGTTTTTTTTGATAAAATTTATTTATCATTTAAAACTATAAAATTTATTATAAACTAATTTTCCTCAACGATTTTGGTTAATTTTTATAAAAATAAAAATTAAGTAATATTTTGAAACTATTTTTTAAATTTATAAATAAAAATATTTAGTTTGGTTTTACTAAATTCATTTTTAATAATATTAAAAAGTAATTTTTGATGTAACAAAGTATTAAAGTTTGTTTAAAAAAGTTATTAATTTTTTATAAATCTGAACATTAAATCGGTTGCCATCTATTTATCAAATATAATTATATAAAAAAATATTATTATTATTTAAATCAATTAATTATACTTTACAAGTATTATAAGTTAAAAACTTTCTCTAAATACCCTTGTCAAATTTAGTTATTTAATAATTTTTTCTTAAAATATAAGTACACTTTGAGGGCTTGTAAGTTAGTAATTTTTTTTTATATATATATATAATTTATGGTGACTATAAGCATAATTACACTAATTTTTTGGTAATTTCACTTAAGAAAATTTATCTTTCAAGTTATGACTTCTGATAAAACTACATATATATAATATGTTTATCCAATTGTCCATACTTTCTTCTACCAATACAAAATATAATTATTTTAATTAACTCAAAATATACTTGACTTTTTTTTAATCATAACAGAATTTTAATTTTTTTAATTAGAATATGCATATATAATAAAAAATAACTTTCTTATTTCGAACTACTGGTCCTTCGAAATCTACACCACCTGCAAAGCCAACAGGCCAGATAGAAACTTTTTGAGTATTGCGCATCTCGTTAAAAATTCGTTTCTGCCGTAAAAAAAGCTTAAGTGATATCTTTTCTTCCCTTTAAATTAAATTAAAAAATTCCACACTTTTTTTTCTCGTAATAAAATTATTAAATGTTGTTTCTACTGCGTCTTAGTAAATTATTAAATCAAATGAACTTTTTAAATAAATAATATAAACGTCATAAGTGTTGTCATCATCAGCAAAATACACGACCCCTCGAGAAACTTTAAAAGACCGTATTGTTTTTAAAGCAAAATTACGTTGATGAACGCCTCTATGGATCTAAATGAAACTGAAATAAAATGTATACTATAATAGATTTATAATAAAAAAAATAAGTTATTTTGAAAAAGTTAATTCATAAAAATTGTATAACAATATATTATTAACGGTTATTAATTTTAAAAAAAAGGCATAACAATTTTGAAAACATTAAATTTCTATTAATTTACGCGATTTGCTGAAGGTGGAGTTTTATAGTTCAGCAACGTAAAGTTTACTGCTATTCATTACCAAAATTTATAAGTTAGCTTTAAAATTAGTATTTTTTATAAGTCAAAATACTTGAATCCTTTACGAGTTTTTTGACAGCGCTGGAAATATTGTTACTATCTTCTACCACAATCCAATGAATGTTATCAACCTACCTTAAAAAAAGTAGATATTACCACTGCAAATTTAATTTAATGTTAATAAAAATATTTTTTTCAATAACTAAAGATTTAAAAAAAAATTTAAAAAAATTAATAGTAATATTAGGATTTCATTCTTTTATATTTTTTAACAATTTTTTTTTTTTAAAAAAAAATAAAGTTTTTTAAAATTTTGTGGTTTTCCCTTTAATTATATTAATTAAATTTTAAATTATAAATTTTCATTCCTTCTAAAGTTAAATAAGCACTCACCAAACGTAGTGTAGCAGCCAAACGTAATAAATCTCCTATTTGTGTGGAACGGTAATAAGTTGGTGTTATTACGTATATTATATCTACTTCAGAAGTGTTAAGCTGTACAAAAGAGCTCCACCTTGTATAAAGTAAAGCCATAGCACAACCCGCTAGGAGGCCCAATGGAAAACTCATCATTAAAAATATTAAGACTGGAAACTTTGGTAATTAAAAATATATTATAATTTTATGTTGTTAGTTAAAGTTAATAAAAGTTTTCATACATTATTTAGATAAAGACATGTTTTTGTAATATAACAAATCTACGGGTGCCCTCGCTTGTATTTGCGGTAACAGTCCTGTAGTTAGTAAACTGGGTTATCTTTACCTCAAGGACGAATAAAAATTTAAGAATATTAAGGTAAAAAATCATCAGCTTATAAAACCGAGGAAATGCCTTCTATAAAACAGCAATTGGAACAAAAAAACTCGTAGTTCTTAAAAAACCAACTAAAAAGTAATTATTCGTTTTTTTTATTAAAAAAAATTATTATTCTCAGTTAAAAAATATATATATTTTTATTTATCTTTTGTGTGAATGTGAATTACATACTGAGTAGCTAACACTATTTTTTCCCATAATTAGTTTCCTATAGTTAGCAAGTTAATATATTAAAGCAAATTGTAAAAGAAAAATCTAAATTTAACTGCGACGAAGCTATAAAAAGCACCACCATAATTGTTTTAAAGAAAGTTTTGGCAATATAGCCTGTCGCATTTATAAAGTTTGTAAACAATAACGCGTGCCGATCTTTGTGCATTTAGTAAATAATATCCTTTACTAATTCTATAAAAGTCTTAGATATATCAATTGGTTTGAGTTTAACCACTTTTTAATATTAAATATGGCCACTGGTATTAGTATATTCCTTTAAAGATAGCAAGGACCCAAACTCTTTGAGAGATAAGAATCCTGAGTTTAGGGCGAGTGGGGGGTATCCATTTAAACTAAAAGTATTTATATTATTACTTGATTACCTTATAGTACAAACTATAAGTTATATTAAAAAATAAATAATTTCTAAAAAATTACTATTAAAGTTACTTTACCTGACTCCTCCTTATTGAAGATATTAATATTTTTTATGCTTTTAAGATTTTATTATTAAATGAAATCTAGTTTGGGTCTTCAACGTTCTTAACTCCCAAGTTCGAACGAGTTAACATATCTTTTTACCCAGGGGTTCCTAAAAGCTGTACTATGTGGAATGTTTGGACTCCAAACTTAGAAATGATAAAAAATTTTAAACTTCCTTTTCAAAATTATAGAAAAGTAAATAATTTTTTATATTTTGTAAGTTGCACGCACAATGTTTATAGGACTAAATTTTCAATCTTTATAAAATTCTTTATTCTTTTACCAAATTATAAATAAATTCTGGGACAAGCTTTTGTCAAAAGATAAAGTTCTTTTTCCTTCCAGCTAAGTTTTTCTGAGGCCTGTTCAAGAAACATAAAATTCTCCTTCTTTTTGCAACTAGAAGGGATTAAGCAAACTGTAAAGTAAAGAAACATTAAAAAAAATGCTATCTTATTTACCATAAAGCATTACTGAGTTGTAAGACAGTTTTATTGAAGACAAGTCAATTATTTTAAAAAGATTTTGTTAGATTGTTTTGTTATTTTTTCTCAGTTTTACCAAGGGGCTATTCGGTAACAATCGAAGCTCCTTTTTACCTTACGCACCGTAGTTTTAAACTACAGCCATAAATAAGAATCTTTAGCGTTAGAATAATCACTATAAGTACTGTTTTGGTGTTACTAATAAAAATACAATGTCTTCATTTTGCTATCTCTTTTCAGCGAACAGCAATGTTTTCTTGTTTGTGCGGTATTATACTATTTTTAAAGATCATTCATTCTTCCTGGAAACAAATAATTTGCTAAAAGTATTCAACCAACTTGAAAACTATGTAGTAAACTTTAATAAAACAGTAGAAAAGTTGGTGAATTTTTTGTAATCAAGCTATTACTAAAGAACTTGAATAAGGAAGTTGTAACCTTTGATACTTTTCCTCCAGTTTGAAAGCTCGTTATGTATAACTTTTAAGCAACAAGAAAAAATTATGACATGCTACTTCCCTTTGATTGTTAGGTGATGCTAAGTCAACTGGTGCTTGGTTCAGAAGGTGCTAAGCCCCTTTTTTGATTGCTTCAAAGCGAAATGCTTTTTAAAAATTCTTTACCTTTTCCTTTAAAACTTTTGGGATTTTAACTCGGCCTTCATAGCTAAAGTATATTACAATTTCCCTTAAGAAATTAAATTATTATAAACCTACTTATTACTATTTGTTATAGTTTCTTAGCATAACCTCAAATTAATACAAGTTTAAGAATAATCAAAAACGAGTAGAATCTTTAAAAAAAAGCAGAAACTCTTTGAATGCTTTAGAAAATGTTTTTTAAAAGCATATATATAAAGCCAAGTTAAGAACTTATGAGATTTAAATTTTAATAGTGACGCGGCTCTGGCATAGCGTACTGCTTTGTCTGAGTTACGCTTCGTGCTATTGATACCTTTGTATTAGTACTAATACTATATATACTAGAATTCTTAAAGGTATTAGTAAACGAGCTTTTCCCCCTAACTACTCTGAATTACAAAACCAATATTACATCACTCTCCTTCTCGATAAGAAAAGAAGTGTAGAGAGTATTATTATGACCACTACTAGTAAAGATGTACGGATTAGATATAAAATTTTCTTCGGCATTTGAACATTGAGTCGCACACTGTATGGTTCTACCATAAGGGAATTACTTATTAATATGTCTGTTGCAAAGATTCAAAAATTTATAGCACCAAAACATTTAAACCTTTTACCGCCCGTATCTTATTTAGTTTTACATTCACAGTATAGTCTGCCACAAGAAACGAAAGACGTTGGTCTCCTTCACTATTGTAGGATTAACATAATAGTTAATAAAACGAACAAAAAACAAATGAAATAAAAAATTTTTATTGGTTTTTTTATATAAAAAATTCACTTCTCCGAAGATGAGGGGGGCGTATCATATGGTGGAGTTAGTACTGGTTGAGTAGGACGAAGGTTGGTTTTCCACGATAACTAATAAACTTCAAAACGAACTAAAAAGGAGACCAATACAAAATTAAATTTATATTTTAAAAACTGTTAGTAAAGTTAGGGTCTTCCGCAATAACCAAAAAATTCGAAACTAACTGAAAAAGAAATTTTTAAAAAATTCAATTTGTAATTTTTTTATAGTGCACATATAAGTAACAAACACCGCGAATATACCGGGTGCAGGAGCGAAGAGCGAAAGGGTAGAAGAAATGCCAGAAGAGAAGCGTGAAGAGCTACCTTGCTTTTTGGTTTTACCAGCCGTTTATACCATAACCTTTTTTTAAATAGCAAAAATGTTCAAGTAAAAAGTAAACTACTCAAGTCACTAAACAAGTATTGCATTCCAAAGTTTTAGTAATTTCAGATGATTGGCGTATTATGTTTTTAAAAAAGTCAATATTATTAGTGAGTTTGCATTCTATATTTCTGCTTATCATGTAAAATGCAGTTCACAAAATAATAGCCAAATATTTCATTTTATTTATTAGTTTTCTGACAAGAAAATGTAAAAAACTTAAAAAAATTCCTAATATTCATTAAAAAAAAAGATATCTTGGAAAGCTGATTTATGAGAACTACTTAGTGGAGTCAAGTGCTTCTAAGAAATGGCGAGGAAAAAGCAAAGATTTTATCAAAGTACGAAAGTTACAGAAGAGATGTTTCATGTTCCATAAACACCGAAAATGACATATGCATCTACCACCTGGGCCTACGATTCGTCAAAATAGCGCCTCGCCTTAAACGCGTCTAACTAAAACCATGTCTTCTAACAAAGCGCTGTGATTGTGCTCTACACTGCAAACTACAAACCAAGCAGCTAATCAAAGTTTTGTAAAGCAATGACGCTGGTCTTTAGTAATTGATATCTGGACACTTCCAGTTTTCTAGCATTACGAGCGACGGTGGGGTGGGGGGGTTTAAGACGTATTAAGTTGACGATGTAGTCAAGCATAATTTTAAAAGTATCACCCTTTGGTCTTAGCAAGTGCAACGATGAGATAGGCATCCTTACAACCACTTTATACTGCAGAAGCAATTGTTCCCACAATATCGAAGTGCACCATTATTTTAATCCTGTATAGCTTTTTAGGATTTTAATTAGGCTATAACTATTGACAGTTTTGGTCCCTAAGTCTATTAATTATCATAACTATTATGTTTCGGTTTCTTTTTACTTCAATTCCTCTTTATTGAACTCCCTAACCTGATTAGAAGTTGTATATACGCTAGTTAAGCATAAAAAAGTTAAATAGGTCATCACCTACATGATGCTGAAGCGCCTGCTCTCGGTGGCTCTTCGTTCCAACAACTCACCGTTGTATTGCTTTCCGAAGAGAAACGCCGCCAGTCCTTAAGCAAAACAATTATTAATTGACTACATTTGTCAGAAGTCGCAAGGTAGTTGAAGCCACATAATGCAGAGCTTAAATTTGAGTTCTGTAAGCCATGTCTTGCTCGAAGTCCCAGCTTAAAATTCCGCGTGGGCAATAAATGAGGCAATAGCTCTTTCTGTTTGACCGAATAGACCCGTGCCTAGATTTTACCTTAAGAACCACATCTTTATTACGTGTACTGGTGATGTGCACTCTGTTAAGAAATATACACTAAAAATAATAGCATATACACACCAAAATACGCATACACATAAATAAACAATAAACCATACAAAAAATATAATCTGAAGATAAACCACTTAAAGCCTTAAAAACATAAATATAAACATTTTGGCAGGCTATTTTAACTAAATATTTGTATATACAAATATAACGATCAACAACTATAACTTTCTGTATGGAACCAAAATAAGCATGTTAATTCATATTTAAAAATAACTCAACGAATATACATAAACGAACGTGATTTTTATATCCTTTCGTAAGGGTATTAATAGCTTGTCTTAATAAAACCAGCTCCCTTTTTAGTCTTCTTTTTGTAGGTGTTATTATCCTCACCTCTAATATAACTGAGAGTGGAAGGTTAACATAGAACTTTTTCTATCATTCTTGCCCTTTGCACCTTACCTGCGCGACGTGCAAAAATTCCGGCAATTCCCCGGCAACACTAATAATAGAAAAGGTAAGAAACACAAGAGTTGCTTTTATTGTGCAGGTTCTCGGTATATTTGAGTGCAAACTGTTTAGTTTAGTCATTAATTTAAATTATATGTCATTGGTTCTATCGCAAGTCATCCAAACTTATATGTTATATTCATGCGTGTGCGGAAGTTTTTGCCTCTTCGGGAGTCAATTGCTAATGATTTTTTTGCTTTGGTTAAGGCATACAAGCCTATATACGTGGTCATGTCATAAAAAAATGTCCTAAAATTTTATTATTATTATATACTGTCGTTGAAAAAGAATGTCATCTAACGTTCTATCATTGTTAGATAATAATCTGTCAACAGTTCTCTTGAGGGTTGTTAAATAACAATAAAGTGTGTAAAAGGAGAAGGTCGTGTTACCTGTAATATGTGTGGGCATTCAGCAACTACAATTATTAAATTGTTTGAAACTTAAAAATCATAGAGGAATTTGTTTACCACATCAAGCAGGATATTTTAGGATTAAGATTAGGGTTAGGGTTAGGGTTAGGGTAAATGTAATGATAATCTTTGCAAAAAAAAATTATCACAAAAATTATCATCAGGCTTCATAAAGGTACTCAAACTATTTCTTTTATCAATAAACGTTTATATGCGGTATAGAATAGTTTATTAATCTGAGTCTCGTCTACTGCTGACTACCTACGCTCTGGTACAACTGTCTCCAAAACTAAGTCTTGAAAACTGCCTTTGCAGATAAATGTCGAAGAAATTCTTTAAGCAAATTACTGTAGACCTTAAACTGCATAATTATCGTAGAAAAAAGAGTCAGCTACTTACATCACGTTTAAAAAAATTTAGACAAAAAAATGCAAACCTGCACCTCTGTCGGTCCTCAGTAATTCTAACGAATTCCCTTCATAGGTGTTAAAATAAGAAACATTTAAACAAGCTATATAACAGAGTGTACGCTTATAGGAGGTCTGAAGCAGCCGAAAGGGTTCCCGTTGGGCTTTTGTGATGGTTTGGTCAAATTGGGGCTATAGTGTATTGATAAAATCTTTGAGCACTACTGTGTTGGTGATGAGCATTAAATCTTTTAAACAGTGCTCATCACCAACCAGTGCTCATCACCAAAATATCGGCTTAATTAAACGACCAGAACTAATTTTTTTTAGACTACAGGTTCCTTCGTACTAAGATTAAAATTTTGAGTCTGTAAATTCGGTTTTTGATGTTTACAAGTATATTAACATCCCAGTTCGCTTAAAAGCTATTTCTCTTGCAAAGTAATCCAACTGATCAATTTGTAATAGACTCAGAACGGAAAGTCAAAGCAAGAGATCTCACATATAGAAAAAAAGTCTACTCTAAAGCCACAGAATTCTACTGCAGCCGAAGGCGTCTCCGTAAAAAGCACGGCCAATATTAATATAAAGATTTGTACGTGCTGTCCATAGATGATTGAACTGTGTGAAGATCTTTAAGAAAAAGAAACTGAGTGTTTCATAATTCTCTTGAGTTTATATATCATAAAAATTGTATTTTGTTTTATGTAGTGTTGCTTTAATCTTGGAACAAAACTTGTGATCTGGCTAAATATGTATATACCTTTACAAAAGGAAGCTTAGATACAATTTGAGGATATTTAATGGATAATGTTTATTTTAATTCCGTGTAAAAACGTGTTAACGCCAGAAAGTATCACGTTTGTACATAAATTATTTAATATAAAATAAATTTTTCAAAAATTTAAAAATATAGTAATTTTTTCCCTATTTAATTATTTCTTTATCGTATTTTATTAAAGGATAATATAACTTTTTTTTATATTTTTTAATGTTATTACTTTTTTACTTTGTTTATCTTTAGAAAACTTGCTTTGCTCGTTTGATTATACCTACAATGTTTGTGAATATGAGTTAGGTGCATACATTTAATAACTTAAGGCGATTTACCTCTCCCTAAAGTCGCCAGGATCTGCAGTATTACTTATTAACGCTCTCCAGTAATTAATAATTTTTTGTATTACATGTTTTCAATCAAATCTGTTAATACTTATTAAAATGGAAGTCTTGAAGAAATTCTGTGTAAATAGCGCTGCTCTCTCAAACTATGAAGCTCATTTTACGATAACATTTGGTGCATAGAATTAACTCTTGGAAGATTCTATATATTTCTCTTTAAAATTTCAAAACTTTGTATTTATAACAACGCCTCAAAGTTTACTTAAGATTCCTAAAAATTATTCAAAAGAAATACAAAGTTAAAATTATTTTGTTATGCCTCTTATCATAACTTTGAATTTATGTTTATATAAAAAACCAAAATTTTACTTTGAAATAAAAAAACAGAATTACTTTAAAAAGTTTCTTAAAAAATATACAACAAAAGTTATAAGACAAAGTATTTATTCAAAGTACCCTTTTAAACACAAATAAGCCAAAATTTAATTCTTGACGGAAACAATTAAAATCTATTTAAGATTAACTTTTCTCAAAGCTATCTTTCGAAGATAAGAACATGGTTAGTCTACGTAATATTTAAATTATTCTCAGCGGTGAGAATCGAAGAATGAAGAGTATTATAGCCAATATTAAAAAAGTTGAAAGCATTAAAAATAAAATTATCCTTGTGAGATAGCCACGGCTTCGAGGCGGTTCTACTATAATAGATAGTTATATGTACGTCTGTGGCTAAGATTTAAAAATTTATAGAACTATTTGTATTTTTTAAAAACCTCGTGCTGCCGGTATCTCAGTTCTACGCCACTCAGGGCGTGTTTGCATTGGAGGCACAGTATTATCTTCTACAGGTGACGGACGATATTGATCACTTTGGTTATTAAACGATTAATAAATGAAAGCAAAAACAAAAGGTGAATATGTTAATTTAAAATAGTTTCGCTATCTTTTATATAAAAATAACTTCTTCTGATACTGAGGGCGCGACTGATCTAGAGGAGGAGAGTTAACTGCGGCTGAGTAAGACGGCGGAGGACTCTCCATGACAATATAAACTTCAAAACGAAGTTGAGGATATTAAAGAAAATCCGATTTGTAATTTTTTTTTAACCTCTGCATTCTTAATAAAGTAACAAATAACATTGCTCTATGCCACGTGACTGCTTGTGCATTCCGCTTAAAGATTTACTTTGTTCTTGTGTAAGGCTGGTAATTCCTTTTTTGCTTAATACCTTCTTAACTTATTAGCTATATATATCTGCGCCTACCTGTTTATTTACCTTTTTAAATATGATACAAGTACTGAATATAAGAATTATTTAACACGTTTGGACCCCTAACGTGGCTTTAAAAAGTGAATTAGGATTTTTAAAGGCACAACTTCACCTACAAAGTAAAAAAAATTCCAAAAAAAAAGCTAATAAAAGAGTAAATAATTTAAAAACTAAAGCAATACGCTACAATTTTCTAGATCAAACCTTCGACATTAAAGGGAGGTCTTTAGGAAGATGAAGAAATACATTAAGTACCCTCATGTAGTGATAATAGCATACTTATGATAATTATTTAGTAGTAGTAACAAACTAGTACCAAACTCTTAAAAAATAATTAAGCAGCTATATTAGTAACCATCATAATACTAACAGTATTAATTTAATAATAATAATACGAAAATACGTATTGATAGATTTAGTAGTAAGAACGTTATAAACCTACAATGCCTTCACCACCCCCACTTTCCGGATAATAACTAGTTAATTAGTTAGAATTGGTTGGAATGGGACAGACACACCTCTATAAAAGCACTTAAAATGTATTGGAAGAGCCACGAACACGTTAAGTAAAAATTCTATCTGTTCGTTTTCATTGACAAGAAAATGCGGTTTACGTTAATAAAATCCTGAAAGCTTAGGGCGCAGAGGTGCCTCCCGCCTGTTATTCTGCGGCGGCATCCCCCTATCGCTGTTAACTGCGAGGACCACTGCAGAATAGTACCACCATTGCTACCGAGAACAAACTCATCAGGATCGTTCTTTGAGGTCTTTACACCGATCTGTGTATAGTCGACATTGAAACGACGCTATGTGCTCAAGATTTTATCCCTCCTTATAGAGCGACTTTCTACAACCTACTTAACGGAACCGCATAAGCGGTTATTGCGCCGAAGAAGATAGGGCCTACCGCCTACGTATTGCAATGATGATGCCAGTGGCAAGCGGTTTGTTAGAGTGACCGTATAGGGCAGGGTCTCAGCGCAACGGCTACTTGCGCCTTCGCTCCACGCTGCTAAGTGTACCCTTCCGATTTAATACAAAAAGTCTCTAGTTTCCGCTGAATGCACTATAACTGTGGCGAGGCCATACTGCGAATTACCAAGAGGCGTTTCCGCGAAACTGTTGTTCATATAAAAGTAGAAGACTTTATAAATTATGAAAAATTTAAGTCTTAGTACATATTAAATTATAAGAGAAATAAATTTAAATTTATTACAAGCCTTTGAAATATAAAACATAAACAAGAGATTAGCTGAATTCTAGTAATATTGTTTTATTATTATTTTATTTTATTGATTGTATAATTGCCTAAACACGATAACATACATTTTTGTTTTGCTTTTTATTTCCGTTTTTAAATTTTTTTATATCTTTTTTTTTTAGTGGAAGTTTTAAAAAAAAAATTTACATAAGCATAGATATTTGAAATACTTTGTTTATGTTTTTGCTCAAGTCTGCTAGCATTATTTTTTGTTACCAGGGTTAGCAGTTATTTCAGTTTCCCGTTTAATCTACTTAACAGTAACAAGGAATTTTATAAACTTTTTTTTCATGAAATTTATGTTTAACGTAGCAAAATTTTCATAAGTTAGTTTACCATAAGGATAACGGCCCATAAGGCGAATCAAAAATTGATATATATTATTTCTAGTAAGCACAACGCCTACTAAGTCTTTTTTTAAAAAATATAAACTAAATAATTTAAGTACTTTTATAATTTCTCTGCAAGACATGATTAATTGGCTATAATTATTTATTTAAAAATTTTCATTTAAACATTATAACTTTACAACACAACAATTATCTCAAATAAAAAGTTTTTTAAGCAACATATTGACATTAACAAACTTTTCAGTTCCCCCTTTTTCGAAGAGTTTAGGCAAATGCCCTTCGGAGATCTTTTAAAGCACCATGCTCGCTGAGTTTTTAAGTGGATTAATGGCGGACGTGGGACAGTGGGAAGGCAAAAGTGTGACTTGGTGGTCGTGTGCTCGAACTAGCTCGTTGCGTTGCCCCTTTGACTGCAGTTGGAGAGGGCCCTCAAGGAGAGCCCTGCTTATGCACGTAATTGCAGTTGTGAATGGGCCAAGATCTAAGAAGTTATGGCAGTACCCATGGGCGATGAGCGCTCATAGGCAATTTGCTGATGCTCCCTTAGCGCACTTATGCCCCGGTCACCTTAGCTTGCCCAGAATCCTCATGGCTAAATGGTCGTATCCTAAGGAGTCGTAGAAAAAGCACATTCTAGAGTGAAACTTCATATCTTTATTGGGAACGGCGTCACATTTAGTTCCAAGTTGCATATTCTTCCTAAAAAACTGTTTAACATAACAGCATTTACGGAGTCTATCAAACTGAAGGGCTACGACGGACGAGAAAGCCTGCAATAACTTCAAGCGGACGGGGGCCATGATGGGATCTCAGGAATTTCGGCATTAAGTCATTGATGCAGAGTTTTAAAGTGCGAAGAGACTGAGAAGGGAGCTCCTCGGCTTCCACCTGCAGCGTGTAAAATCCAAATGAGCTGTACGGCTAATACTGTACATGAGTGCACCTGGCACCTTGCAGGGTAAAAACCAGCCGCCTCATTAGCAAGTGTAACTGGGCCAGCGAGGCTCCAAGTCGTACGGGGACAGTCAAGAAGAGTTAGACAAAACACTTCTTTTAGGCATGGAGGATGCTTTGCTCTAATAATGAGAATGTTCAGAGTAGCATGAAAAAGTTAACATGCGCGTTACCTTTTAAAAAGTTGTTCAACTTTTTAAGCGCCAAAGGAAGTAAAGGCATGGATTCACCGAGCTTTTCGGCACCGATACACCGGAACAACGAGCGCAATAGGAATAGTTCATCAGATTAATGGATTGTGCAGCGAAACTCTTAATATACAATACGATTTGTTAACGAATACGTAAGCTCTCTAAATTGAACGCTACGGATACAAAGGGAATATGTACTAAACTATTGCGAACAATTATGCTTAAGTGCAACTGCAAGATTGGTTCGTTCTGCTCGGGAAATACAAAGGCAGCCCCCAAAAAATGTCGAGGGCGATGTGGTCAGTCAGAGTATAAAGTGAACATACCAAAGGTAAGAGGTAAAGAGGTGCAATATACTAGGACTTTTTAAAATTTTCAGCGACTAAACAACCAAATGTCGTTAGATATTTATTGGCTTAAACGAGATTTTTTAAGACAAACCTAATAAGCACAGTTGGCCGACAATTTAAACGTTTCGTTAAAAAGTTTAAATTGCGTTAGAAAATATAAAGTGCCGACTTCCCTTTTTTTTTTTAACTAAAGTATCTTTTTGCCTATTAATTATTCGAGAGTTATTTTTATAGCTTACTGTTACAGCTTTATACAATTTTATAGTTATGTAGGCAGTAGACTATCTGTATGTAACTATTCACAACTTACTACCTCGCAAGTTTAATCAATGTATATAAAAAACTTTGAATCTACAACAAATAGTAGTTGTAAAACAATTTATATATTACGCTAAATTGATAGAAAAAAAATCTTTATCTATTAAAATATGCAAGTTGGCTATAATCGTTTATTAAACTTATATCAGTGTCTTATTCTACAACTATCTTATAGAAATAGAACGGTACGTTTTTAATTGCTCGACAGTTTAATTATGTATAAATATGATAATCGTAGAATAGAAAAGCATATTAGTTTCAAAAGATGCAATAAAATCAATATTCCAATAAAAAATTTAAAGTTTGTCTCAAGCTAAGCAACTGGGTGAGCTGTACTTAGTAAAAAACCTGAGGTAGTTATAATAATTGTTATAAAATAATAGTTTAAATTATTTAATAATAGTTTACAAAAAAATTATGATTTCAGAATTACTATTAATATCTAAAGTATGTATTTTTTATTTTTTAAGAAAAGTGGTAATAATAAATAATTGTTTTTTTCGCTTAACTGATATACATAGAAGCAGTAATAGAAACTATATCTTTTTAATAATTAAAGCTTATTTAGTCTTTTGATGATAGCCCCCCCACGAAGTTATCTTGTTCATTTGTAGATGAAGCGTTTGTTTTCGTAGTAAATAAACAAGAAAGTGGTCAATGAACATAAAATAACTTGCACGAGCAGGGCGCGCAATATAATTGGTTGAGTAAGAATGAAAAATCGCTGAAAAAAACCTTAAATTATTGGCCATCACTTTAAAGAACGCTTATAATGTTCTATGATTTATTTAATTTATCTTTCTTGAGCTGTTTTGGTACTAATTTTTATTGATTGTTTTTTCTTTTTTAAACTATTATAATTATAAAAGTTAATTATTATTTTTTTCATTGTGGCTTTAAATAAGATTATAATGGAATCTGATTTATCCGATATTGAAAGTGACTTGTACCCTTTAAACGTGCTTAAGGATGAATTAGTATTCATAAATATCTTTTAAGCATAATTATATATTTATACCCCTAACAATTTTCCTTTTAGGCAAATGTAGATCTTCAAGCGCGGCTGAGCTCAATTTCTAAAATTTCAACAGTTGCACTTGCTTTAGGCACTGAAAGAACCAGAACTGAATTACTGGGATTCTTGAGAGAAAGTTAATAAAAAAAATTATATACAACTATGATATTTCTATATATTTCATCAAATACTGTAAAACTTTGCTCTTTTTATATATTTATTAAAATTGAAGTTTTATTACATTACCTAATTATTTATTAGATTTATAATTTTTACATCCCATCCATTTCTCTAGTTCTAATTTATTAACATTTATCTAATATGATTTTTCCTATTTGTTAGTTTTTTTTTATTAAGTTTTCTTTTATTTTTATTATCAATTTTTATTAAACTATTGTTTTAATTGTTTGTGTACCCGTTGAAGATGTGTTAAATGACGACGATGAAGTCATTGTAACTTTAGCTGAAGAACTGGCTAACTTCGTGCCTTTAATCGGGGGAGCAGAGTATGTTCAATGCCTAACGCCTTTATTAGAAACTCTTGCGAGTGCTGAAGAAGCCATCGTTCGCGATAAAGTAAAGAAAAAATATTTACAAAAAATTTTTAAGCAAATTTAAAAGAGTAAATAGTAAATGTGAATGTAGTCTAAATTTTTTAATAATAATTTTTTTTATAGTTTTTGATTCTTGTGGTTTTTAAGAGTTTATTTAAATATTTAATATTAAGTGTTTTTAATTTTAGAGTTTAAAGAGAGAAATTATATTCTCGTAACAACGTTAGGATATTTTTTAACACTTACATATTCGAAATAAAGTGGGGTGTCTTTTATTGAACTATGAAGTTAAGTTAACTTAAATTTGAAGGCTTTGTAAAGTCTGTTACTTTTATATAATATTACAGTGGTTATAAATAAGTTGTTTACATAAACTATCAAGTATAAGTTAAACGCTAAAATTTATAAAATTCGAGCCACGAAATATTTGCTCGATAAGTTAGACTAAATTTTTTTTTTAACTTTTAAAAGAAGTGAAAAATATAAAAAGAAAAAATTACATTGTATTATAAGTTTTATATAAATAATTTTATGTATAAAGTATTCTTATAATAAACTACTTACCTTTAATATAAAACTTTAAACGTATTCTATATAATTTTATATAAATGAGAAATTTATAATATTTTAAGTATTTTTTTTTTCTAAATATGTTTATACTAATCTTTATTATTATTTGAACTTTTTTGTATTGCTGCTTTGTTTAGGCCGTTGAAGCTCTTCTTTCTATTTTGAAGGATGTTACTGATAACGAAATTCACGTGTTTGTGCAACTTATTCAAAATTTGGCCAAACAAGATTGGTTTTGCGCTCGGAATTCAGCAACGGGTTTGTTTTCTTCGGTCTACCCACGTGCTCTTAATAGCCAGAGGCCTTTGTTGAGGTTCGTGAAAATTATATTTTCTTTCCATATCTATTTATTTTAGCTCGAAGTAAAGTTATACAACTACTGCTTATTTTAAAAGGATTGCTTTTGAGCATCCTTTATAAGAATTTATTATAAAATACCATTATTGAGAGAAGTATAGAAAGCTCGTAATAAGGCATGACGGTTATTATGTAGCGGGTTGGTAAGAACTTTTAAGAAATTTACGCAAAAGTTAAAGCAGTTTATGTCCGTAAAATAAACAAAACGGACACGTGAATTTTATTGTAAAAAAGTGGCGATAGTCTAAAGGCTGCCAGAGCGATAAAAAAATATATATATATAACAAAATAAAATTTGGCGCCTTCCCATTTTAAAGTAAAAGTTGGGGTGGTGGGTTTGTTTATTGGTTAAACTTTTCAAACAAATTTTTTAAGAAAAATAGAAAAAAAATGTGCGCTTCAGGAGGAGGTAGACTTCACTAATGAACGGTATTATATGGTTTTTTATGGCATAGAGCTCTGATTTCTCGCCGAGCAAGACTTTAGTTCGAAAAGTTTTTTAAAAAAGAGTTCACTAAAGCTTCTATTATTGTCAGATTTTGAAGATTGCTATGTTAATAAAAAGTTTATGATAACTTTTAAGTTTGAGATAATAAGAACTGTATAGAAACGGGATATTTTTAAGGTTTTTAATAATATAGTGTTTCTAGGATTAATATAGTATTAAGGCACACAAGAATATTACGTTGCATTTTAGTAAACGCAACTAGAAGTAAAGAATTATATTATATAAGATAAAATTTTTACTTGATACCTTTTACGATGGCATTTTAAAAGTTTTATTAGGGAAGGAAAGAAAGTGGGTTAAGTAAAGTTGACTTATAAGGTGTATCTTTTTCAACCAAACGATTGATATTTTTATATTTTTCTTGATTTTATAAGTGAGGGGGATTATTGGCTTATCATTTAATTTTTTCACGCAAGCTTACTAAAACACTAGCGACTTTTGAAAGCTATTGAGGCCGTTACGAAGAATATTGAGAATAAAATAGTGCTCAGTGCGCGTTATGAGTCATAACACTTTGCACAAAAATTAGATGCTTGTATAACAAAAAAACTACGCATAATATAAGATTTGGCGAGACTTAACAGTTTCCCTCCATTTTACTTAGTTTCTTCACATCATAAATAAAATTTAAAAATTGCGTAATTTATTTTACTAACATGACGTGTAATGACGGAAAGGCATACGGTTAACTTGGAATTTAAAATTATGCTACTTTCATATTAGAATTCGAAGAGCAGTTTTTAAAAAATTCTTTGTTTTTTATGGCGAAAAAGCAAACATTAATATGAGTAATACATATTAAAATTCCTTCTGAACTTAAAAGATCTTTGTTATATATTTCATTTTGTAATGATTGTTTTCTTTGTATGATTATCTAATTAACTTTATAAAATGTACAAGAAGTATAAGTTGATCGTTTGCATAAAAAATTAGTATATTCAGTGTTGTTTCTTAACATTCTTACTCTTTTCGGGGAGCAATGATAGAACTTATATATATTCCTTTTAGTTATTTCATGTTATTATTATAGTTTTTTATATGTTTTTAAAATTAATGAACTTTATAATGTACAAAGTGTGTAATTTGAACGTTCGCATAGAAATATTTATAATTAGTACATATTTTTTAATTTTTTTACTTTCTGGTAAGCAAATTAAAAATATATTTTTTTGATTTATTGTTTTATAACAATCGCATTTTTTATTTCCGTTAATAATTATTATTTTTAACTTAGTGAAATTTATAAAATTTTTAAAATGAACGTTTGCGTAGGGAGATATTTTCTGCGTTATGCGAGGATGAAACGCCAATGGTGAGGAGGGCAGCCGCCTCTAAACTCGGGCGCTGGAAGTTTAACGATTCATCTAAAAGCGATTATATTAAAGGAATGTTATTATTATTATATTCATTATTATTATATTCTTACTATAAATTATTATTATTCAGGATTCGCTGAAGTAATGGAAGAAGAGCACGTTTCAGGAGTATTAGTTCCCTTGCTTACGCGGCTTATTCAAGATGAACAAGTATTATTTATGTGCAGTATTTATTAGCATTGGTAAGTTTCCTAACGATCTTTTTAAGGATTCTGTCCGGTTGTTAGCCGTTCAGTCATCGATTTATATTTGCCGAGCGCTGGATAACGAGCAGCGGCACGTGACTTTGCTTCCGCTTTTGCTACAGAATTGTTGCTCGGACTCCTCTTGGCGTGTGCGTTATGTTCTTGCTGAAAAATTTGTTGAGGTGGTTCATAATTTTATATATGTAATTATAATTTTTTATACATTATTTACGACCGAATTATAAATTGTACTGTAGCCGATTATATACGAATTGATGCTGTTTTTTTGTTGTAAAGTTGCACGAGGCTTCAGGTTCGGCTGCGGGTGTCACTGGGTTTGTGGATGCTTTACTGAAATTATTAAGAGATTCTGAAGCCGAAGTTCGAGCCGCTGCAGCTTCCGTGATTTCAGGTTATTATTTTTTTATAGTTCTATTTTTATTGTTATTAACGCTATTAAAGTTTTGTAATAATACTTTTATTAATATTTAAAGTTTTTATCATTTACATGAATATTTATATACTTATTGCCAAAAGTTAAATTATATTTAATAAATATATTTATATTATTATTTTTGTTTGGGCCCATAAAACTTTTTTGAAAGATTTTTGCTTTTTGATTGGTTGTAAACTTTTAAGGGGATGAGAATTAGCCATTTATTTTGGCTAATCCTCCAAACAAGGTAAAGCCTGTTTAGCCAGTTTAGAATTTTAAGATTCCTTACTCTTATGTTGACCAATCATTGGGGGAACTGAGAATTCTTGCCGATGAAAACGTTCAACTGCCAACATTTAGAATTTGTTGAGCCATAAAACTAAGACAGTAAACACCACATGACTTATTTAACATAATCGTATTTTTCATTGGCCCTATTGGTAGAAATTTTTTCATTATTTTTGTTGTACATAAAAACTTTTAATATTTATACTATTATAACAATTTTATATATAGTTTCTATTATTATAATTTTTATCGTCATCATCATTATTAGACTTTTGTGCTGGTCTTCCTGAAGATTGTAAGACAACCATTATTGTTGAGCAAATCTTGCCGTGCGTGAAAGTGAAGTTATTTAATAAATAATATTTCTCTTTGAAGTTTTCATTACTTTTTTTATAATAGTAATAACAATAATAATAATTCTTTTTCAAGTTTTTGTAACTTTTTTTTTATCGTTATAGTTTGCATTATTTTATGTATATATTTTTTCTGTTTAGTATATAAAATACTAAGAATAACTATATTAACGTATAAAACATTTTTATTTATAATATTTATGTATATTTTGAAAGAAAGGATGTATTATTAGTTATTTTATGTTATAGATAAAGTTAATCACTTTTATAATAACTACTATGAAAATGTTTATAGCAAAAAGTAATTTAAATTTAGTAAAGAAAAAATAAATTAGAAAAGGAAAAGATATTATTTTATAAATAACGAAAAGTATTAAAAATATCAAATAATATAAAAATATAAATAATAAATAACGACACGTTCTAACGGATTTGCGGCTGTTGGGTTCATTTAAATTCATTATATTCATTGTAGCTCTCTTTCGTTCTACCATTCATTTTTTTATTGCTTTACTTTTTATTGACACTGAGATTTTTATCTTTATGGGTAGAGCCTCTCGATGGACGCTTCGCCATTTGTCCGTTCTGCTCTAGCGCTTCATATAATGAAATTATCAAAAACGATTGACCCAGAGCTGTACTTAATTAATACTATATTTTTTTAAGGAATCAAACTGGTCTATTTGTCGCGCGTTAAAGTTCATAAAAATTATTGAATCTAAAAATTTTGAAAATCAATTTTATATAAATGTTATATAATAATAAAATAGTAAAAATTTTATAAATAATAAAAAATTTAAACTTTTTTTTTAATTGGTCTTTTTCTCTCGTTGATTGGCTGCTTTTTTACATTGTTATGTCTTTTACATTGTTTGACGAATCGTAGCTCAGAAATGGTTTTGTTATTTGTAGTAATTTGTAGCAAAATTAATGTTAATTAATATATTCGATGCCTTTTTAAAATATCTTCACATGTGACTATTTGCTGGTTTATATCTAAAGAGCCAATGAAAGCGCTTTAAAAACGTTAATAATAAATTTTTATTACTTTTTCTAATATAATTTCATTTGTGATTAGAGATTATTTATTTTTTATTTTTTATCATTATTATACTCATAAATCTTTTTATTTATTTTTTTTTACTAAAATTTTTTTTAATATATATTATTAAAGTTTGCATTAAAAAGTCTATCATTATTATAATACTATTGCAGCTCGATGAGTTGCTTAGTAGACCTTTTTACGACTTTCCTGGCGGATGACTTTCCGGATGTCCGTCTTAATGCTATTTTAACGTTAAGCGATATTTGTGGAGGTCCTTATTATTAGATTTATAAATATTAATTATAATAGTAAGAATGATAATAATAGTTTTAAGCACTTCTTCTTTATCTCGTTCTATTATTCCTTCCATCATTGGACTTTCTGAAGGTTTTTTTTTACTTTTTTTTTACTTTTATATTATATTAAATTTTTTTTTTGGACAATGGCAATTTATTTAGTGAATATATTGAATAGATTTTAATGAAAATAATTTAAATAGACCGTCAGTGGCGCGTGAGACTTTCTGTTATTGAGTATATCCCAGAATTAGCGCGTCGGCTGGTATGATAATATAAAGATAATAACAATAAGAAGAACAAGAAAAGTAATATAATAAGAATATTAGTTTAGTAATAAAAATAATGATAATATATCTATAATAGAACTAAAATAAATAATAATAAGTAATGAATAGCACATCGATTTGTATAAATAATACAATAATAATGATCATAGCACTATTGAAAATAATGACATTATATAACGTAAAAATATATGAAATATAATAATAATAGTAAACAATAAAAACTTTTAAAAATAATGATATAACAAAAATGTGAAAAGAATAATATAATAATTGTTATATTAATAAGTTTTTCTAAGAAAATAATTTAGTAATACTATATTATTATTTTGAGAAATTTTCTTTTTTATATATAAAATTATAAGAATATTATATTAATATTTACTTTCTTTTATACTTTTTAATTGTTTTTTCGTAAAATGCTATAAAAAGTTTTTATTTTACAAATATTTTAGTTTCTTTTTTAATAAGACTGAAATAAATTATATAGTAATAATAACAACAATTAATAATGGATAGCACGTCCGCAGTAGTATAAATAATATTATAGTTATATTAATAATAATTAGCATGTCGGTGGGTATAAAAAATATAATAGTACTAATTTAATAATTAATAAAATAATAAATATTAAATTAGTTATAATTATATTAATAAATAAGAATAAATAATTATCTATAATAAACTAATAATAAATAATTAAGTAATTATAATAAATAGTAAATAGTAAAATATATAAATTATTAATATTATAATAATAATAATTAATACTAAAAATCAAATGCAAACATTAAAATATTAATAATAAATATAGTAACTGGTAAAATAATATTGTTACTAATAAATAATAAATTAATAATAATAAATAATAAATAGTAAATTATAAATAATATTTATATTACAATATGGAAATAAATAATACTAAGTAATAAATAGTACAATATAAAATATTAATTATGTAATAATAATAATAAATTTTCATTCTTAAATTTATATAAAAAATAGTAAAATATATATAATAGATAGTAATGATAATACTAAAGTATAATAGTATATCAATAAAATGAACTAATTAATAATAATAAATAATAAATATTAAATTATTAATTATGAATAATAAAATAGTAAAAATATATTATATATAATTAATAATAATATAATAATAAATTCTAAATAACGAATTGTCGATAATAATTAATAATAAATAGTAAATAATAAATTAGAAAGTTGAATAATAATTTTCAAGTATTTAATAAATAATAATAAAAATTATAAGTAAAGATCTTTTAAATAATTAATGATATGCAATAATAATTAATTATAGATTTCAAATCATTAATAATAAATAACAAATTTTAAATAAAAATAATAATTTTTAATAATTAACAAAAAATCAAAAAAAATATTTGAATATAATAATCAATAATAAATGCTTAAGTATAAATAATATATATATGAATAAAATAATTTACTATAAATTTTTTTTATAAATAAATTTAATAATAGATAATAAATAAATAAGTAAAAAAATTTATCTTATAAGTAAATATTGAATAAATAATTAATAATATATAATGATACTAATAAGTAATAAATTTTAAATAAGCAATTAAGAAATAATATATTTATGAATAAATATATTTTAGAATAAAAATAAAAATAATAAATTAATAATAATAATAGATAGTAAATAATTAAATATAATTAAATATAAATAATAAAAAGTAAATAAGAATGATAAAGAAATAATGATAAACCTTTATAGGACGATGAGTTTTCTGAGAATGTGGGCTCGTTGTGCACAAAGTACGGATATCCTTTTTATTTTAATTTCATTGGTGTAAAATCTGACTTTACCAATAGACATTTTTCAGCTTTATTTGTTTTTTATTAATATTAATATTTTTACTATTTTAATATTTTATTATTATTATTATTAATGAAGATGGCTATGCGACTCTGTTCACTTTATTCGGAAATCCACGTCAAAGACTATTGCGGACCTCGTGCGTCTCTACGGGGCCACGTGGGCTAAAACAGCTATATTTCCCGCGCTATTTCAGATGGCCAATTACCAAAATTATTTGCACCGGATGACTGTTTTGTTTACTATTGATTCTCTTCTTCCAGTCGTACGTTTTATTTTCTTTTTTCTTATTATTTATTATCATTATTATCATCAATATAATCTCTACTCAAAATATTGTGAACTTCTATTTTTCATATCCTTTCTCCCCATGTGGATTTTCAATCTTGAACTAAAGCTCGATTCGGACGTTATTATCGAAGACTTAATCCCATTGGTTATAAAAATGGCAGGAGACCCAATCGCCAATGTCCGCTTTAATGCCGCCAAAACGATGGGCAGTCTTATAAAAGTTGTGTTTTTATTTTTATTTATTTATTATTAATTATAATAATTGTAGAAAAATAGTTTTATTTATTTTTCAGATGATTATAATATTTTGTAATAATAATAGTAATAGTAACCTTTACGCCTCCATATTTATTATTTTATAATTAGAGTTTAGTAGTAGCCAATTATATATTATTTTAAAGTAAACGATATTTTCTGTAATGAAAACTTTTTATGAATTTTAACTTTCTTTTTCTTATAGAGTTTATCATTTAAACCAGAAAATATTGAAATCACACTGAAATCTTTAGAAGAAGATCCCGATCCCGACGTTCGATTCTACGCCAATCAGTCGCTGGTATTATTATCATTGTCTATTATTATTACTACTATTATTATTCTTGTAATTAATATTTTTATTATCTTCTTTCTTAAAATAATAATTGTTACTACTTCTACTATTATTATTTCTGTTATTAATATTTTTATTAGTGTTATTATTGTTATAATTATTAATCTTATTTAGTATTATCTTTTTACTTATTTCTTTATATTTATTATTATAACTTTTTTATAATAGGAATGCTGCTAATAACAGATTGCTTTCTACTGCATAAATAAAATATTTATAATTATATTTATAAGAAGTTTACTTTTTCTTATATTCAAAATTTTATACTTTTATAAAATAATTATTTACGTAAAAACTTTTTTTCAAAGTTTTTTTTATTTATAATAAAAATTTTTTTTTATATAATTCTTATTAAGAAAACTAAAAAAAAAAAGTTTGTTATAATTACTATTATTAAAAATTATACATTTTTATAATATTTATAAATACTAAATACGAAATAAATTTTTATACTAATAAATTGATCTCGAAAGGGCTTTTATTGGGGGATTTTACTTTTATTAATATCTTTTTAGGCCCACTTCAAATATTTTTTCTAATAACATATTTTTTACATTAAAAAAATTATTTATAAATGAAAATATATAACAAGTTTATAAAGTGAATAATATAATTTTTATAATAATTTGATAAAAATATAATAAAAAGTGAATAATAATATTTTATTTATAATAAATAATAATATAAAAATATATATATAAGTTTAAAGTGACTAATAAAATTATAGTAATTAAAAATATAATAACTTTTTTTTAAAATAATAATAATATATTCTTTATAGTAAATATTATACAAATTAATAAATATACTAATTTTATAAATTAAATAGTTATAATATAATTATAATAAACAATATGCAAGTAAAAAGAAATAATATTTTAAAGTAATTAATAATACTTATTTATATTTTTATTATATTTATAATTAATATACAAATATACAAATATATAGTATATAGTATACAATGATATTTTTTTATAATAAATATAAGAAATATAATAATAAAATATGATAATTATATAGTAAATATTAATAATTTTATTTTTTTTTATAAAATATATAAATATAAAAATATATAATAAACCTAAAGGAAATAAAAATTATTATAAAATTTTTTATAGTAAATAGATACAAAAATAATATAATATAAATTTTATTCCGTAAATAATAATAATTAGGTCCAATCATGCATGATTTTATACTATTTTTGACTGGTTTAATAATAAATTTGTCCGATATAAAATATTTTCCCCTTTATTAAGTTTTTATGTGCTTCAAAAGATTTCTAGTTCAGTCCCATTTGGGAACAATAATAATAATAATAATAGCTTATAACGTAATTCAATATTATTATTCTTATCACTTTAAATTAATAATTTACAATTAAGACATAATTTGGTAAATTTAATATTTGTTTTTCTAGCCCTAGTGCGCGTAGTTCTTAATGATTATCTATAGCGTCTCTAACGTACCACTAAAGAGAAAGTAAGACAAAAATTTTATCGGATTAGTTTGTGCCAACATCAAAGGACTGAAGCTTCGTGTTGACGTAGCCTTATTGTTGTATGTACACTGTTTAACTTAGGAATCCGTTTCTGCATGCTAGCGTACTCTTCCAAATATTTCTTTGCCAGTCGCATACTCCCTTTATTACTCATTTTATTATTACCTCTTATTGGGCTATTCCAAATAAATAATCTCTGTTATGCTCTTTATTTTTTTTTAATTGGTGGTCAGGATACTCTCGTACACATTTAATAAAAAGAACATAAACCAATAAGAGGGATTGATTTTTACATCTAATTAGCACGCACTTACTTATAATATATGCGCCAATAGCTCTTCTTTAAGTTTATTACAAAAAAGAAAAAATTTTTTAAGCTAAAAGATTAATTTTTGCAGAAGCTTTCTTATGTACAATTATTAGTTAAGTTTGCTATAGTAGTACTCAATATGAATTTATAATTTCCTATAAAAAATTATAATTAGAATCAGAAAAGTTGTATTTTTTTTGTTTTAAAAAGTTTTATGTAAGTTTTAAGCCTTTAAATATTTTTGGCCGTAGTAAAGTAAAAAATTTTGTATAAAACTATTTTTATGTGCCGATAAGTTTTTATTAAGTAGTTACTATATAAAAAAATATTTAAGTTTATTACAAACGTTATAAGCATGAAAAACCGTGAACAATTTTTTAATTTAAAAAATTTGAATTAGTAAACTAATATTTAATTATGGTGTTACTTAACAGAAATAGAAAGATAATAAGATTGTCATAATCACTTAATAAATTTTATTTATAACTTATCAATTAAAAAACTTAAACAGCTTTATTTATTTCTACCTTTTATTATGCAACAATTTAAGAAAAAATAGATTCTAAAAATGACTATCACATAAAAAGTTACATCAAAAAAGTTTGAAATAGTCTCCTTGGACATAAAAAATCTTTTAATTGTTAAAACAGTAAATTAATTTATAATCATATATATTTACAATAGAATTGTTCATTCTAGCCTTCAATCTAAGCTTTGTAAGTAAAGAAATTTACAAATGTTATAATAAAAATTACAATATAAAATAGTTTATAGGTTACTAATATTTATTAATTATAAGAAAAAGTCTCCTAGGTTTATAAGTTATGATTTTAGTAAGGTAAAGAAGAAAATTTAAAAGATCTCTAATTATTATATACTATAAGTTTAGAAGCACCAACAATATAAGTTTATAATCTACTCATTGATGTAATCAATGTCATAATTTAGTAAAGTTTATTATAAATTGCAGTAATAACTTTGAATCTAAATTTCCTGCTGCTCAAGTAAAAATTATAATAAACTTATCAGCTAAAACTTTTCAAATAATGCCTATTTTTATAATTATATTTACTTTTAGTAAATTTACTGTTGTTAATTTTAGTACTAATTAAGTTTATAAAAAGTTTATTGTAAAGTTATACATACTTTTGCATTACTAAGAAATTTACTATTAATTTAAAAAAAAAGTGCCTTAAAATTAGCTAAGAGGCTAAGTTTTACTATTCATATTAAAAATATAAATTTTTAAACGAAAGCTGATTAAATTTAGTAATTAGTAGATTCCTAACAATTTTTAAAATATAATAAGTATGTATAAAAAAATTTAATAAATAATTTATTTTCATTTATAAAATTTCATTACAAGTAAAAACAGTTTTTCTAATAGAACTAACTAAGAATCGCCGAAAAATAGTGGTAAAATGCTACAGCAGCCATTGCAAAAAAGGCCGCCACCGAAAAGTAAGTAAAATTCTTGACCGACTTAGATTGGCCGGCAGCCTATTAAATAGAAACTTTTTAGCAAATAAAAAAGTTATAATATTGATAAAAAATGAGTAAGTACGAACGTGGAGAAAAAAGAATTTTAAATTTCAAGAAAAACTATATCTAACTTTTTTAATTTTTAATAAGCTAAACTGAATATAAAAATATTAATAATAACTAATACTTTGTGTCTTATTTATATTATTTATGTATACTACTAAAGTAGACAAAAACTATTAAAAAAATAGTACTGTAGCGTTAATCTTTTTCGAAGGTGCATCAGAGACGCCTTGCACTCTTCCCTATTAAATTCAGTATAAACTAACAGTTCATCTTCAAAACATGTCAAAGTTGATTAGATAAAAAAAAATTTCCTAGAAAACTATAGTTGAACAAAAAAATACAATTTCGTATTTTTTTAACATCTCAATAGCATCCGTCGAATGCCCGATATCTTCAAAAGCTTGAGTGGCATCTTTGCCTGCTTCTAAAAGTACAACTTCCTCACCGCCAGGATGCTTTTTATAGAAAAGGCAAACAGAATTTTATCTAATTATTTCAAAAAAAAAAGCTCGAAGTTTTTTAATTCAATTATAACTTACAAACCTCTTCTAAAAAGTTCGTAACATCATAAACTTTTCCGTTTATAATTAACCAACAGTCGTCGAGCTTACAATGCTTTTCGACTTCTTCGGGTTTAATAATTTTATTGCTCATTAAAATTTTGTTATATAAATTAGTTATAAAAAAACTATAATATAATTGAATATATAGAAATAGAGCTAAAAAAGTTATTGGTAAGGTAAAAAGCCCCCGACCCTTCTTCACGTGGCCTACTTAAAACATTTGGTATAAACTTTTACATCGTTATTAACGCCCTAGTTATAGAGGTTATAGTTTAACCATGACTACGCGCAGGGGGAACTAGAATTAACACATCGAAAAACTTTAAAAAAAAAATTTACACTAACATTATAGTTTGCAATAAAAAACACAAAAACTTTACCGAGCAAACACACATAAAAAGTTAATTTTAATATTTTTAATTTTTTATATTATTAACCAAATAAAGGTAATTGTGATATATAAAGCTTAATAAAACCTCTTTGCAACAAGAAAAAGGGTTAATATATTAAGAAGTAAATACGAAAATTACTGTTTTTTTTTGTCCTTGAAAAATTTTATAAGAAAGCACTTCTGTGAAAAAAGTTTGCCATTGATAAGTTTATTACGTTATTGATTTGAGGTAACTCTAATAATTTAAGTTTATTTTGTGTCGTGTAAAAACATGTACTTATTTTTATTTAAAATATTTATAGAACTATAATATGGCCTTTTCAGGAATTTAAAATTGTCCTTGAGTAAGATTGACCTTTCTGAGTAGTTGACCTACCTTTCCCGTTTGTTAACTTCAAAAACTTTATCTGGCTTACGAGTACCTTTTACATACCTTTTATATAATAATGAAAAGAGTATACCTTCAAAAATTATAATGCTAACGTATTTCCTTGTGTCGGTTTTTGCCTAATTCCTTAAAGTCAAAGTTTAAACTACTTTTGTTAGACACCCATATAGCTATAAAAAAGAAAGAAGGAAATATTCATTTCTTAGCTATTAAAAAAAAAAATGTAAATAATCTTGATCGCTAAAATTTATATTTAAATAGAAGTTTTAAGTCGAGGCGTAGCCAATCTAGTTTGACGCCCTCAGGTTTTAAAAATTTTTTTACCTGATAACTTCATGAACATAAACTTTCATTCTGGTCCCTGGCAGAAGTTTTTATCTAAAAAGACTATTTTCTTACTTAAAAAAATTATAAAATTTACTTTTCTTTTTATTATAAAAAATTTTCATGTTTTGCATAAAAAAAACATGCGTCGACTGGAACAAACTTGGTTAAGCTCAGTTATAGTTAAAT